AGGACCTGATAGATACCCTACTGAGCATTCAGAGTCTTCCCCGACAAGGCATTTATTAGGTGCAGAAGGGATCAAGACTTGTGTATTATTTTTGGTATTAAAATACTCAATGTCATTAAATAACATTTTGCTTTTATAACTTGGCTGTTGTTCTAGTCATTAGTCAATACTGCAAGATCACAGCCACTGCTTTTTTTCAGTCTACTATGTAATGAAAGATCTTAACTTGTCTAAATTTGTAAAAATTGTTTTTATGTTTTGTACATTGGCTGATGGCAATTTGCAGTTTGAGATTCTGGCTTTATTGTGGAGAGCAGGACCTCCCTGGACTCAGGGTTTTCCACAGTGTTCAGTGCCTGTTTCCTACAGCCCTTCATTTCTGCAGGCTGTTGCTACTCCTAAGTTCTGGCCCGCCTGTAAATGCTCTCTTGACCCAAGGAAATTTTGAACTTGTGTCCCTTTCAGATGGCAGTCCTGTCTCTTCCTTGGGTATACATGGAAACACAGATAGTCCTATCTGTGTGAGCTGTAATGATTAATTCTGGGCTCGTCAGGAAGCGGCTATCAATATTCTTTCAGCAGTTGTGAGTTGTCCTGAGAGAACCCCAAGGATGCTATCACAGGGTATTTTAGAGATTTCGTCCAAACTACAACATAGGGAGAGAACTGCTGTTTCTAAACTAATGTTACTAATTTGAAGGTACTTGTAAGAAACTAGACAAAAGGAAACCTCAAATCCAAATAAAAATGACACAGGACAGGAGTACTGACACTTAAATCTTTTATTCAATGTCTAATTCTCCAATGCTTACTCATAGTGAGCAGTGCTCAGTTACCCACACAAGCTAGTAAATACTTGTTGACTAAATACTAACCAGAGGTATCAGAAAGGGTTGCTACTATTAAGTCTACCTTTAATATATTTTTCATTTAAAGGTTATTGACATATCTGTTTGAAGTTAGCTTTGAAATGCTCAGTTATAACCTTAGAAACTAGCAGCAAACTCTTTGCACTAGAAAAATCCTCCCCAGTTCAGTGCATTTGCATATGCTAATCTCTGCCAAGTTCTCTCCAAAATGAAAGGCTTTACATTGGCATTAAAAGAAAAAAAAAGGCAAACAAACCCCAAACCTCAAGTCAGATCTCTGTATATATCTCACAGTTTAGAACCAGGCAGTGGAGCTGCTAAATAGCCTGTATCCTGTTTCTCTTCAGTAGCAGCCCATTCATCTTCAGGTACAGAGCAGCCAGTTTACATGCTTCTGCCTCTTTTCTGCTTTACTTTTTCTACATAGTGTACGATGGCAAACCCATGTAAGCTAAATACGCACTTGAGCCAAGGAAACCTCACAGTTAGCAGACAATTTTCCTTTTGTCAGCCAGGAGAAAGTTCAGTTTCACTGAAGATAAAGTGTTCTTATAGCCTACATATTTTATTTTTGGTGGGATTTAAGGCTACATAGATTTGTACATTTTTTAAAAAAATATGCTAATGAAACAAGGGTAGTTTACATTTTTGAAAGGTTGAAAGGGAAGTGTACTGTAAGGGACTAGCTACATGGCCACAGGTGACTTAACTAGTAACTACTGCTCTGAAAATAATGTAAATAATTTTCCTTCAATAACTCTCACTTTAATATGTCCGTAACTGTACCTTTATATGGCAAGCCCAAAATGTATTTTTTTTTTCTTTTAGTGCATTTCTATTCTGGAAGACCACATATACATTATAATAATACACATATTCAGGTTTATATATAAATATATACATATTTATACACACATACAAGCACATACACATTGTGTATGTAGACAAAATTGCATGAGTGTACACATATACATGAGCATATAAGTATAAATATACATATATATTGTAATAACATACACATTTGATTATTTGTACATGTAACATTTAGTAATCTAAATATGCACTTTTTCAGAACTGACATTGTTCCTTCCTCAGATCCAAGGACTGTTAGTATTAAAATGCAATAAAATAGCAGGGGTTATAGGAGGGAGCATTTAGTGGAGCTGGGTGCAGTCATAAATGTTTAGCTGGTTATCCAAACCGATTCCAAGCTCTGAGTGTCCTAGGCTTTGTCCGCCATCAGGAAAGCAAAGCACCTATCTCATGAGGCAGGTGAAACAGAGCACAGCTGCTTCACAGGTCAGTGATACATTGCACTCTGTGGCAGTGGAAACCATGGATCATTTTCCTTTCCACATCTGTAAAATCTGAAGTATTAATCCCATAAGATGGTCATCAGCCAATACTGTGGCCTGTAGGTTCCCTTGCCACATCAAAACATGTATTCCATTACAAAAGTCGCTCCTAACTCAGGGTCAGAATGGCAGCAGACAGTGGAATTAGCCTCAAATCAGCTGTAAACTCAAATAAACTAAAATCTTCTGTTTACTCCCCCTTAAAATTCTATGCAACCCTGAATTAAGCAATGATGAGATTAACTTTTTTATTTTAAATTGTGGCAGTAGGAAGCACCTGCCTATCTACAGCACGTTTGAGGGGATTTCTCACACCAGGAGTGGCGGTCCCTTTGCCGCTGGGGTGCCAGAACCACTCAGCCCTGATTCATGGCTCCTTCTTCTGACCACTGGCAAGATGACGCTTATGCCATTAGAGTACAACATGTGTTAATTTATATGATGTAACTGCTTCTTAAATATATAGTTGTCACAGTGCACTTTAGTACCACTTCAGAATTTATTACATTAAGTGGAAATGAGCAGCATTCCTCTCATCTGCCTAGTTATTAGCAGCAATTAGTGTTTTCCAAAGTCATCTACGGCTCTGACATTGCTACTGCTGTGCTTATGACTACACTGAAGTCCTAAATCCTTTTGCAGCTTTTAGTTTGTCCATATTTCTTGTTACTTTACAACATGCCCTCTTTCAGCTTTTTTTTGATATTCTTTCCACTCCAGCTTCTGGAATTTGTATAAAAGCCACTGAGGTTTTTTTTTTTTCTTTTGAACTGAAGACACTGGGCTGGTGGAATTTCCTTTAACTGGAAGTATGTCTGGGCTTGTGGTTTTATTATTTGCACAGTTTTATATTGTCCTGTTTGTTTACTCCCAAGCACAGGGAACGCTCCATTAATCATGGGTAATGGGCATTCGTTTCACCTCTTTAATTTATATTCAACTCTTTTTCTCACAGTTGAAAGGGACAAGGACTTCTCCCACCAGCGAAGGCACTACAAAGAGTTTCGCTTTGACCTTACTCAAATCCCGCACGGAGAGGCAGTGACAGCAGCCGAATTCCGGATATACAAAGACCGAAGCAACAGCCGCTTTGAGAATGAAACAATTCAGATTAGCATATATCAGATCATCAAGGAGTACCCAAACAGGTACCCTGTTGGCATGAACGTATCACGTGTTGAACGTCTTGTGTTTCTATCTGAAGTAGGGAGACAATAGCTGATCATAAGCGTACCCTCAGCAAGGCATCATTGCTATCACTGTGGCTTGTGCAGTATTAATTCCTAGGCAACGACAACAAATACTGAGCAAGAATAAAACTTATCTTCAATGTAATTTATTCCAGGTTTATGGTGAGTTACATGTCCAATCTCACCAAATAATCTGCCCATGCACAAAGGGGGTGAGGGTTCGTGTTCTCAGTGAGCAAATGGTGGAGTCATATGCACAGCCTAAGTGTCTGGATTTGGGAAATGCACCATTTGCTGATGCTGAGGTACTACCAGCCAAGATTCATTTAGCACCTTAAAGGCAGATAGATTGCTCAGCTTTGTTTATGTTTGAAGGAGCATGGGTTTTTTGCATGTGTTTTAATGTTCTGCTGAATGTAATTAAAAGTCATGCACTGACTTTAAGATGACATATGCACACTTAACCCATGCAGCTCACCATAACTGAAAATTAAAACAAATATGACGTTACACATGAGCAAATCTCTGAGTCTGAGTTTGCAGAGCTGTGTGTGACATATTTCCAAGGCTCTTCAAGACCTGAGTAAATGACCATATTTCACCAGGCAAAGTAGCTAAATACCTGAAAATCCCCATTAAAAACTAGTAGCAATTCCAAGACTCTTCTGAAAAAAGCTACATATACCCAAAATTTGGGTTTTGAAATTAGATTGATATATGTCTTTTCTCAGAAAAGTGGAAAAAAACCTTTTGTTTTGAGATAAACAAAAACTATCCCTCATCTTGGAACAGATAAAATATTTCTATCGTGGGCATGTTTAGCAAAAGCAAAGAAAATGGCAGCCTAAACTTGCAGAGTGCTCTGGAGGAAAAAAATGCCCCATCACCAGTTAGTTCGAAGGCTGGGCCAGAGTTCAACTCTCTTTTCTGCTCACAGAAGCTTGAGCTTGTACCTTCCAGGTGAGATCTCCTAACATCAAGTTATAAAATTTTTATGGCTATAAACAGGGAGTCATTTTATATCAATGGAGCAGAACCAACAGGAGGGAAAGCACTCATCCTTCCAGAATACCTTCTGCTTTCTTAGTAAACAAAGCACTGGGATATTTTTTTACCTCTGTCTTCAACTTGCAAAAATTCTTTTGACGTAGGTTCTAAAAGAAACTTCTTGGAGGAAGGAATGAAACGGGAAGGAACAAAACATAGCTTTTTAAAGAGCACAGGTCAACGCTCTCATCAGGGTGATGAAAGCTCTTCACCTGCAAACTCAACAGATTTTTTTTAAGAACTAATGGGAAAAGTTAGTTTTTCTAATCCATTTGATGTTTTCTTTTTTGGGTTTTTGTATATTTTTTTTAATGTTTTCCCAGTAAGTGGTTTCTATTTTATTTTAGAGAAAGCAAAACTGCTTACTACTCTGAAGCAAGATCACACTTTAATATTAACTGACTTGTTAAAATGACAACTTTCTCTGTGAAACCATTAAAGAATGCTCTTGATTTCTTTCAACACATAAACATAAATTTATAAATGTTTTATATTTGCATTTATAAACATAAAAGCCCCATGTCCTCTTATGGAAGCACGATGCTTGAAAGGGGCACATGCAACAATATACCATCCATTTGATTTCACCAGTATAACTGCAAAAACTTCAGATATAGACTGTTTCCCTCCTATTGTTTATTTTGCCAGTCTCTACTCATATATGGAGTATATAGAGGCAAATGCCACAGTGGGACAGGATGGCAGAAGACCACAAGACCTCCATTGTTCAAATTAGAAACAAGGAACTTTTCCCACCTACCTGCTTCTTGATACCTCCAGACAGAAGAGCTCCGAAGAATATTTTATCTTTTATTTTTTGCAATAAAGCTACAGCTTTTGCTTTGGGGCCCAGTCTTCATTAGTGTTATTCTTGACTTTGTCACTTCAGGTTTGTCCTACATATGTACATGAGATTTTAGGTGCAAAATTTTCAGAAGCTGCAACTGCAGAATGTGAGGGTGAGAGCACTGTGAGGGTGGTGACACACTCCAACAGGTCATCCAGAGAAGTTGTGGATGTCCCCTCCCTGGAAGTGCTCAAGGCCAGGTTGGATGGGGCTTTGCGCAACCTGATCCAGTGGAAGGTGTCCCTGCCCATGGCAGGGGTGTTGAAACTAGATGGTCTTTAAGGTCCCTTCCAACCCAAACCATTCTATGATTCTATGATTCTATAACGTCCCACACTCCTTACTAGTGCCGTACCACATCAAAATGGCTGGCTTTGACCCTGCTCCACCCACCCTTCTTTGCTCTGAACAGGAAACGCGGGTGTCTGACAGGGCTCTGCAGTCCCAAATGCAGTCCTGCCATGTTTTCAGGCAAGGAGTGGTCAGGGTTTAGGGTTTCTGAGTTGCAGACTAAGGATTATGTTATAGTCTTAGACATTCTTCTGTCTCTGTGGCAGCATGGCCGCTGAAGTGTGTGTATATTGAATCTGCTCAGAGCTGAAATGACAGTCTTTGGGACTGAAGTTTTCTGTTTGTTCTAAGTAAGTGTGTAAAGCACAGCCCATAGCAAGGCAAATTTTCCTACACAGCCCTGCCAATGTACTCCTACCCGGATCTTTTCTCATGACGAAAGTAACGTAGTCCAACAGGCCAAATCCTTGTTCATGATCTGGTGGCAGCTAGCCACTAATTTAACTAAACCCCAAGGATTCTTCCCGCATTAGGGAATCCTCACGTGGCATTAAGATACTAAAGCAGCTTTCTGGAATGAGGCGAGAGGTGAAGCAGCATTATGGGGATGGCCTATTACATAGTAATCATGATTTGATCTGGTCGAAAACTTCGCTGGGTTTCAAGGAACATATAGATGGTTTATTCCACCTTTACTTCCTTAAGTGACCCAAGAGATCTGGAGCTTCTTAGACGTTCTGCCCGGAGCCTCTTTGCTGAAATTCTTGACTGTGGTAGCATTTCTGCTGTAGACAACTGGCCGTTTGGGACCAGACTGAGATCACTAAACTTAAACAGCCTCCATAAAGGTAAAGCCAATCAGCTGTATTCTGCCTGAATGCGTTCGCTGTTGCATTTCAGGCTATTTACGACATAATGCCTTACTTTTTTATGATGTGTTGTGGGCTATTTTTTAAATAGAAATATTTTTTAAAATCAGAGCCAAAATTTGCAGCTGTTTTTCATTTTAAGTGTGATTATTTTTCACAGAATAAAGGAGAATTTTAAAATTAAAAATGTCACAAAATGTGATGAGAAGTTTGAGTGAATGACACCAGCTAATGGGGGAATCCTGATCCCAGAGCTCTCACTGCATTCTCAGGGGTCAGGTTTTCACCCTATTTTTACATCAATTGTGAAAAAAGCTGGTTTTTTTCCTGACAAATACTTTGAATTTCTGTAGTAAATTGCTGTTATGTGGGCTAAATAATTAGCATTGGTCCAGAGACATTTTCTCTATTCTACTATGTGTTCTCAAGAATCAGTTCTAGTTTTCTCTAAGTACCCACAACTAATTTTTGGTTCATTTGCTGAGTTAATGGGTAAGAACAATCTGCATCTTTGAATCTATTACCTTAGCCAGATCACTATGCTTGTAGGAAGGCAGACCAGAAGATTGATATATCAATGCCAAAGATGCTTTGGTGTGAGTTTCTGCTGCAGTACAAAATAGTAAAGTCACACTGAGGAGAGATCCGCAGGGGAAATTTGTTCTTCATAGGAATTTCTCGACTGTACCATTAGTAGTGCCCTGTTCTGATTTGGCATATGAGACATTGTGCATCCTGACTTTTGAGAACATTTCATACCAGTCCCAACAAAATTTGGAGCTGAAAGAATCTATACGGGAAAATAATTATGTATTCTAGGAGACAAGACAAATGTGAAATTATAGCACTGTGATATTGTAATATTTGTAATATTCCAGACAATTTTACAGTTCTCTATTAAATCTCCTGAATGATACAAAAATATTTATAAATAAACATCTTAAAGACTGTCACATTCAAAATTAAACCTTTCAGCTTTAAAGTTCTGATAAAACTGCTTATTAGAGAAAAAAGTTGGCATTTAAGACTCCAGAGAGTACTATTTATGGGCTTGTGGTACGTTGTTAATTTGTTCAGTGCTAGCATAACAGGTCAGGCTCTTTTGAATTGTAAGACTGTTTTCATGTTAGCTCCAGAGGGAGAACGTATGTTTTCTCCCTGTGTGGTCACTAGCACAGTTCTACTAGAATGGAAGTGATAAGAGCCCAGCAAAAGATTATCCTTTAACAGAAGGAAAAAAGGTGACTTGAAAGAAAGCCCTTTCAATTTTCTTTTTTTTTTTTAAAAAAAAACAACCCTTTATAATTTCTTAGCTCTTTAACCTGATTCTGCAGATATTTCTCACATGTAAGTAAACATATTCTTGTCATAGCTCATTTGGTCATGTTTTCCTGAGTGTTGAACAACCACAGTTTCAAGAGCTACATGAGATGTTTTTTTCAGTTTAAACCTTCTAGGTGCATTTACAGTGTTTAATCTAGATAAGACAGTAACTTCCTACAATGTTGTTGCTATTAAGCAACATAGGAATACAGTGACAGGACCATTGTAATTTTAAATCCACTTTTTATACACAAAGCCTATTATTTCTGTCTGTCTTACCTCTTTAAGCATATATTCATGCTGTCTGTAAGGTAACAATAGGATTCCAAGGTCTGTGTAAGCCAAGCCTGTCTTTAGTTGAGTTGGATTTTCAAAACTTAGAAGAAAATATTTTTTCTTGTATGTTATTGTTTTGATTACTATTTATGGCAGAAAAGAAAGAGGTTTCTATAACTATAGGTTTAGGTTTAAAAGGCTAAATTGTGAAAACAGTTTTTAATAATGCATGCTGCTTTGTAGAAGCATGTAAAATGAAACTGATGAGGGTTAAATATCTTAGGTTTAGTGTGGTCATTGTAGTAAATTATTTGTAATACAGATGTGGTTCTGGAACCAATTGTGTCAGGAGATATGTGAAAACAGAACAAATAAATGATCCACGCTAAACATTTAGTAACACAATTATTATACTAACTCCCCTGAGCAGCCCTTCTGAATTACTGGAAGATTTCATGGGAACAAACTTGAGAATATACCAGGGAACTGAGGGTTAAAATGTAATAATTACATTATTGAATAGATATATAATTTCTACTTTGATATAGAGACTTATTTTCTAAATGTCTGTACTAATATGAAACTATCTGAACTGTCATCTATTCATGTTTTGTCATATGATATAGCTTCTGTCATACGTTATTAATAACAGATTTTTTTAGCAACGTTATGCTTTTGAATTTTAGTTGAAATTGGAACTTGATTTTGACATTTTTTGTCTTTTACTCTGAATGGTTTATGGAAGTTAATCTTCCTGAGACATTCTAGTGCTGAAAGATGAATCCTTTATACACAGCCTCGATTATATATTTTGTGTATTTATATCAGGAAGCTGGATTTTTCAGATTTTCCAGAGCTGTAGTTTTCACATGCTGAGACTCATTTCAGAAAGGCCTCTCAGGGGAAATACCTGTATTATACTTAACAATTACATGTTAGCTACAGCACATGCTGTACTGATGAGGATATGTCAAAGGATTATTCATTTGGGCTCCAGGAAGTTATTGTCAGCAAGGAAATTAAGGACAAAAAGTAATAATATTTGAATGCCTTAACTCTCTATTTTCTTTAACTTAGGGATGCAGACTTGTTCCTGTTAGACACAAGAAAGGCTCAAGCTTCTGACGTGGGCTGGTTTGTTTTCGACATTACTGTGACCAGCAATCACTGGGTGATTAATCCACAGAACAATCTGGGCCTGCAACTCTGCGCTGAAACCGGGGACGGTAAGATCATAACTGTAGATCATAACTCTATATATGCTCTTGTCATCTCTTGCTAGGAATCTTTTCTGGCCGGGTGTTTTTTAACCTGACTGGGTGACAATTCACTGAGAGTTTGTAAGCAAAGAACACAAGTCTTACCCTGACGTAGCTGTAGTCTGCAACCTTTCTATTATTCTTAATTCTGTAAAATATGGCAATTATAAAGCTAACTGAATCAAGTTAAATTAAATTAAGTTTGGGATAAAAGCTCCTACGTAGAAAATGAAGTTCCATTTTAATGTTCTTCCACTGATGATTACAATCAGGAAACTCAAGCAGATTTGTGGAATGTTTGTTTTAGAAAGTTTCTAAATATCTTTATGGGCTGAAGCATGGAGAAAAATATAAAAAAAACTTTGGGACATTTCAGAAGGGACCTCATAGCCACTGGTACTGATGTTGGAGAAAGAGTAATGTGGGAATTGGTTTTCTATCATTTGAAAAAAATTTCAAAACTTTTTAATCTTGAAATGGGTTAAAAATTTGAAATCTTGAAAATTTTAATTAGCTGAAAATTAGGAAGAACACTATCAAAACTGAAGTCAGAGCTGTGGTTTTTTTAGTACAAATTTACTAGGCTATTTCATTATTCACAGTTATGCTCTTCATTAAAAAGTGAAAATGCATCTCAACGCAAAATAATATTTTTAGAAGAAATGATCTTTACTTAGACTTCTTTAGAAACTAATAAAAAGAGACTTATATACTGTTTTTTCTGTGATGGTTCACTTAATCCATACTACTTTACAAGCAAACTTTCAGATTTAGCTCTTTCTTGTCAAAAAGCTTTTTATGTCAGAGGTCAAGGGATCTATGATGCCAGTTAATCTAAACCTTAGCTGACATAATGTTAATGAGTAGCAGAAGAAACCCTGGTGTAAGGATTAATATTTTTTTCTTCTTTCTTTGTTCTGGCTACATTTTCTCATTGTTTTTGATCTGAATTCTCCCTCAGGCTCAGCTGGGCTGTGAACAAAGCCTCATACTTTTTCGGCAAGTGCTCCGGCTGCTGGCAGTTATGCAAAAACTGTCCTCCTTTAGGCATGATGCTTAAAAAGGGAATTGGCAGGCTTGAACCAGAACAGATGATCATTTCACCTAATACTGTCTATACGGTCAGAGTACAGTCAGTGGAAAAGGGAGGCAGCAATGCAAAGTAGACCACGTTGTTGCTATGTCCAGCCAGCCTTCAAAGGCACCGCACCTGAGCCTGGGCTGTACGGGGAGCAGCTCTGTTAGGCAGTCTGGTTTTGTGAGGCCATTTTTAAGCCCTTAAAATTCTGGAGAGGTGACACCTTCGTCAGGCATCCAAATTAGGTGGACTGGCTTCTGGCCAGCTTTCCTGCTCCAGAATAAACTCCATCCTTGACTTTTTTTCCAGGAGATTCAAATACAGAAATTTGTGAAAATTAAATATCCATGAAAGGCATTCATTAAGAAACCCTGGAATCAGCAATTTGTTCGTTCTAGCCTCAAAATTATATCCATTCAGTAAACAGCAGGAAAGTTTGTATGAGTAGAAGCAAACCTTTAGGTTAATACACTGAAGAAATTGTAAAAGAACAGTTTATGTAAATATTTCCCCTGTCCTACTCCCAAGATCAGAAAGGTGATAGATAATTTTCTATTTTAAATTCCAAAGCCACTGGCAGCTTTAACCTCTGCACCTCACTTATTTGAATTTCTCGACATAGCTGCTTGAGTGAGGAGGGAATTCCCGTCTCCCCTCACTTTCTATTCCCTTTTCAGTTTATTCATGCAAGAAGAGTGCCCTTCTAGGGAGTTTTCAAAACTATAGGGAAGACTTGTGTTATACCACTTCAGCTTAGCATAGGGAAAATCATCCTTTCATGCTCTTACAATTTTGCTCTTAAGGCTTTGATTATTTTTATTGGGTTGCTGTTACTTCTGGAAGCTATTAGAAGCACCAGCAGTTGAATGACATGTTTGTGTACAGATGGAACATGAATTTTTGTACATGACTCAGTATGTAGTAGACTCTGTTTGTAACCCAGAGAACCCCACCCACCTTCCCTCCAACCAGTTTTGCTCAGAGACTGGTTCAAATCAACCGAAAAACCTTCCCTTGGCTCAAGTGAACTTTAGGCTGTGCAGGTCTGAAGCATGTTTCTTCATGCCTCCTGCTGTCCATTGCATTTACAGGAGTTAGAGGAGTTCTGTCCCCATAACTGGAGAGACATTTATGATAAGACCTCATCCATTAACCTTTCTATTGCAACAAACTATTAAACTAAATGGGATTCTGTTAAGTCAGAGGATCCCTGTTTGAGGTACTCAGGTGCTGCACTGGGGCCCTGGATAATCAAGTCTATAAATACATACTAGTTTTTAGATTTATTCATACAGCACCTTTGAAATGAGATGCCAATAATTACTGAGACTCCGGGGTGCTACTATATTGTTATCATTACCATTAACAGTAATCTTTCTTACAGTTATCTTTCAGTGACTTTTTAGGCAATTACTTGGGTAGATGTATTTCTTTGGTGATCCCTGAAGATGGTGTATAAATAATAATAATGTCTACATGAGGAATAAAAAAATTTGTAATTATTTAATATAACAGTGTGATAAAAACAACTTTGGAAGAATGTCTGGTTGTTGTCATTCATATTTTTCCTCCTCTGAAAATGCTGAAAAAGTACAAAAAGCCACATGACATTGGAATGTGGGGTTTTTTTTCTTTAAGACAGTATTTGGTATCATACGTCTCATTTTAGCATGAAATGTAGACTTTTTCTCTTAATGGGACGTTTTATTTTGAACAGTAAGAATAAAGGTTTGCATGACACATATGGAAGCTGTCAACATATAATGCACTGTTTCCCTGGGGCTGTGGTAAATTAAGGATCAGGTTTTTTTGATTCTCTTTTTTAATGTCTCCTCAACATTCTGCAGCATCCCCTTTTGGCCGATTCCCTCCTTTTGACACCAAAACTCTCCATGGTGTTTAAAATGAGAGGTGATCATTTTCACACTGATGGAAGTGCGGGTGTTAGGTGAATTGCAGCATAAAATCAATGCAGATGCAGAAACAATTCAAAAAGCTCTATGCGACACTTTTCCTGTATATATACCATATGTCTCCTAAGACTTAAATCATGTTCCAGTGAATCAGCATCTTTGTATTAACATTTAACATTTTTATAATTGGAAGTTAGCAACAGTTTGAACATCGCTTTTACTGGAGGAGTATAAATAGCTGCGAGAGTATTCCTTTTGCTGTTTATGCCATTGCTGAAGAGAACCTAGTGTCTACAGAAAATGGGAGAGGGACATAATGTATAATGATGACTACTGATGATCCACAGAATAAAACAAGTTCCAAATACACAGCTCTTAATACAACATCCTGGGGAGCCCCCACAGCCATGTATTTCTGTGACTTTTCCTAGATTATTGCAGCTCTTGGTTATTTTCCACCTGCCTGGACATCAGAGGGGAAGAAACAGGTGGTAACTTTGAAAAGCCCAAGCCGATTAAGGTGATTTCTGTTACCACATAGTCCTATGGAAGGTGTCTTTGGGCTTTCTTGCTGTTTGCAGTGGGCAAGCAGCA